CCTCTCCATAAAATGGGGGTAAGGCTAGCCGACAATCATCTCTTTCAGATCCCGCGTAAAGCGAAAGTCTTGTGCACTAAGTACGACCTTTTTAAGCTTACGATCTGCAGTCAAAGTCGAGCACATGGCGAATAGTAGTGTCAGGGTGACACCGCCAACAGTCAATCCTGTTTTTTTGAATTCTACCTCAATGCCCACGAGCTTAATTGTTTGAAATTTTGGAATGGTCAGAATATTATTTTAAACATTGTTTCAAAATTTGAAGGAAAAGTCAACCTCCCAGGTGTTGGAAGCAGAGTAGTTGAGACGGTTTGCATGACATCATGACAAAGATAGTAGCCCAAGAACATGCAACTCGCTCTACTAGGTCAAACATGAACCGAAAATTAATTGTAGGCGTACAACTCTCCAGCATTACCCTTACTTAATGGACATATAACTACAAAAATTAATTTTTTTTTTCAACAAACTAGATTAGTGTTGGAGCATTTTAAGATGCAGATTTTGAAAAAAATAGACATTAAGTTTTTAGTAGCTAATGCATGTATGCATTTAGTACTCTCTTTAATGTTAAAAAATTATGCTAAGAAGCTGTAACCATGCTTCCTTTAAGCTAGAAATATAGGCTTCAGCAATAAGGTCTTTGGGTTCGATTGTAAGTAAGAGGTCTTAGATTCAATTTTTGTTAATGACAAATTTAAACCAAATTATTGTTAGCTCAGTATGAGGCTAATCTCACACATCCCCCTTAGTATAGATGATATTGTTTGTTCAAACAAAAAAACAATAAGATCTCTATGTTAAGCAAGCTCAAAAACGTGACATCAACTCTCAAGAATAAATCATTATCCTAAACAACTTTAGAGATTTTTTATATTAATCTTAAATTTTACAGTCACATTACATATATTTTTAGACTTACTGAAAGTTATTACTATATGGAGTTTATTTCTATTTAAAGTTTTACTGTATAGAGGTTTTATTGTACTACATATACTCTGACTACAGCCTTGGTAACATAATCAGCAAAACGTTCTATAATATACCTATAGCCACTAACATACAAGTTATTATCAACTATTGGTTGTGATTATCGAGTATTGTATATATGGTTGCTGTAATGCTAGTATTTATTTAGGTCATTCGTTGAGAAATGCTAGTCAAGATCTCTCACACCAAGATAATTATGAATAGTTCGAATTGTACTAGATATTTGTCTAATGCTATGCGCCATTAGTGCAGGACAAGATAATAGAGTAAAATTTCCTTGATTGTTCTACTAAGTACAAATTTAAACGAAAATTCTCATAGTGATGATCTAAGATAATAATTATTATGAATATGTCGTGGGAAAGCCTTTTAATTAAGTTCACCACATGGAAATGATTAAAAGTTCTTGACTTTGTATGTCTACTTATCCTTGGTTATTCAAACTAATTTAACTGGTCAAGATTAATTCCAAAACAAAAAACAAAGAGACAATTTCTAAGTCTATTGAGTAGCGGTCTGTATAGATTGATGTATTTAGCACTCTAATTATAGGCTTGGTCAACACATTGGATTGGGAGTGCAATATGATGATATATGATGAGATTTATTGACTTGTATTGACATGTCACATGAGCTCTTAATTTTTATCGTTGAAGCATCACATCGAAGTAGTTAGCATATAGTAAACTGACGGCTAAACGCAGCTTCTTCTCATTAGGATGTGTGTTACATTACATTATGAAGACAATTATTGGGATAACTTTTGGAGAATCTGCATAATGACCAACAATTACAGTGGAAGGACTTAAAACATCAAGAATTTTACAAGTCATGAATAGAAAGAGTGGCTTGTCTTTGGATCGAGAGTGGTATGGTTTGAAGAATCTTCTAATTTGGTTCAAGAGAGTGGTTTGACGATTTCTTTTAAAAGATACTATCTAAAAGGGTTGAGATTATACCATAAAATCAAATTAGCAATATGAGAAGTAACTCAACTTACTTATAAAAACATGCAAGGTTCATTGTCCCATAAATGTAACTCATCCTCAACACACCCTCTCACATGTGATGAATTTTCAAACCTAATGCTTGAACAACACAAACGAAGTGATGTGAAACACGTGTAGCAGTGGGACTTTATACATGAGATACCTGCTCTCATACTACTGTCAATATCTATTGGTGCAGTGTTACTCTTTTCTTTCAGCAACGAGGTCACACTAATATACTCTATATATCATCTTTGTAAGAATCTTGTCGTCTATATTATCAATGAATATTCTACTTTTCAAAACAAGAAAAAATCAAATTAATTCATATCGTTGTCAACTTATGCGTTATGTTGCACCCTGTTGGTTTTTTACGACTCAAAATTAGGATGATGCACAAAATTAGGTTTGTGTTACCTATTTGGTTTTGGTGTCCTATTTGGGTTTGGATTTTGACTTCTTAGTTGGTTTCCTTGGTGGGGAGGTTTTGTTAATTACCTATTTGATTAGGATTTGGATTTACTTCCTATTAGGATTCTTATTGTAACCTAAGTCCTATGCACACTATAAATAGGACCTTAAGGTTAGTGTATTTCGTGTGGAAATTTGGTGAGAGTCAATTTGTGAGTTTGTGAGTTAGAGAGCAATTTGGGAGAATCTTCTCCGTTTGTTTGAGTGTTCTACTCGTTTGGTTTAGGGTTTGTAATTTGTGGGATTTGGGTTGTAAGAGTTTAAACACTCTTTTGTAATCTCCGTTTGTTTAGTGAAATTCCTTGTCGTACTTTGCACGTGGAGTAGGCTTTACACCGAACCACGTAAATCTCTTTTGTTAGTTTGAGATTGTTTGTTTTAACTTTCACCTATGACGTTGATATTTGGTACTTTGTTATAATTTGCTTCTGTTTGCGCATAAAAGTACAACAAGTGGTATCAGAACCCAGGTTTCAGCTTGGGCTGTACTTGGCAATCACTATGAAGCTTTTCGTGTCATCGCTGAAAGTTGATATTGAAAAGTTCGACGGCAATGACTTTGGTATTTGGCAATTGAAGATGCGTGCTTTCTTAGTTCAACAAAGGGTTTTAAAATTGCTAAAGGGTGTGAAGGCTTTGCCAAATTTGTGGACTGATGAAGAAAAATAAGATGTAATGGAGCAGGCACTTGGAGCAATCCTGCTGACTTTATTGAATGAAGTCTTGCATGAAGTTGGTAGCATCAAATCTACACCAGAGTTGTGGAAAAAATTGGAGAGCTTGTAAATGACCAAATCCCTTGCTGAATGGTTGTATTTGAAGAAAAGTTTGCATACTCTTCGTATGGATGTAGGTACGTCAATTCATAAGCATGTTGATGAATTCATAAAACTTATGATGGATTTGAAAGTGTGGACGACCAAATTTGTGATGAAGATTATGCGATAACTTTGTTGTGTTCTTTATCTCCTTCGTATGATAACTTTGTCGATACCATGCTATTTGGTAGAGAAAGTCTTAGTTTGGAAGATGTTGAAGCCGCCTTGAATTCTAAAGAGCTAAAGAATAAAGTGTCTGACACACAAGATGGAGCTTTGGTAGTTCAAGGAAGGAATAAGGAAAGGAGAAAACTTGGAAAGAACACTTGTAGCTATTGTTATAAGGAAGGCCATTGGAAAGTAGATTGCCCTAAACTCAAGGGCAAAAAGAAGCCGTTTGATAAGTCTTTTGCTAGTGTTGATGCAAACATTGTAGAAGATCATTGTTCTGATCTCCTCTAAAGGTTATGTGAGGAGGTGGAGCTTGGTACTCAAGCTCTTTGGGTGGAGTGCAATTCGCACTATTTTGTTCGTATATTCAAGCTTTTGCTTGGATTTTGTTTCGTATTTGTTAGTTTCCGTAATGGAATTTGTTGGAGAAGGCGTTGGAGGAAATTTCAAGTATGAAGACATTTGGATTCTTTGATTCTAGGTGGAGATTAGTTCGAAAGAATTTGGTGCACGTTTGCGTTTGTATTTTGGTATCCCAAATTTAAAGTTTGTATTTGATTTGGAAGTTTGCTAATTTCTCTCCGAGGTGGAGATTGTTAGGTTTTTACGACTCAAAATTAGGATGATGCAAACAATTAGGTTTATGTTATCTATTTGGTTTTGGTGTCCTATTTGGGTTTGGATTTTGACTTCTTAGTTGGTTTCCTTGGTGGAGAGATTTTGTTAATTACCTATTTGATTAGGATTTGGATTTACTTCCTATTAGGATTCTTATTGTAACCTAAGTCCAATGCACTATAAATAGGACCTTAGGGTTAGTGTATTTTGTGTGGCAATTTGGTGAGAGTCAATTTGTGAGTTTGTGAGTTAGAGAGCAATTTCGGAGAATCTTCTCCGTTTGTTTGAGTTCTCTACTTGTTTGGTTTAGGGTTTGTAAGTTTGCCCATAAAAAAAGAAGTTTGTGTTGAAAGAGAAAAAAACGTTGGAGAAAGCGTTAATTTCGTATACTTCCTAATTATTTACTAAAGAAAACGTTTTATCAAATCAAACACAACATACAAGTATTATACACATACGTAACTATTATATACTTTTGACTTTAGTACATGTATTTTACTTTTACATATTTTTAATAATACATATAAACTTCATAAGTTATACACACATTATTGAAAACATAAAATAAAATCAAGTATTTGAACAAATAAATATTAAATTTTGAAATGATTGCTAAACTTATTGTCGTGTTTTTACAAGAAAGTAGTCAAATAATACACATATGTAAATTTAGTGTATTGTACGTACACTTCTCATATTCGGTAGCTATGTTTGATATTGCTTCAATGAAAACCTAACAGAAACACTACTCATTTATTTACGGAAAACCTTCAAATAGTCAATTCGATTCACGTATTCCAGAGTATAAGATCCGAAGAGGATCTCAATCCTTCAATAAAATCAAGAACACAAAAGCAACAAATCCAGATCAAGAGTTACTCAACCAATTTTCTCTCCATTGTCGGAAAATCAATCTTACGTACATATATACATATCAATCACATCCATTAATTTGTACGGTACCATTTATATGTATATACGTTTCTTTTTTTTAACAAAAGAAATAAAGAACCACAGCTTCAGCTTCTTCTAATCTATAAATTTCACATACGACGTTGAATTTCCTTATACGACCATTACTTGTGGATAACCCATCGCTGGGTGAGGAGATAACGGTGACAACGGAGGTATGCTAAATACCCCTTTCACATCCTCCTTCTCTGACTCCCAAAACGACATCCAACTTGACGGCGTCAACGGTGTTTCCGTCAGCTTCTCCTTCTTTACAACCACCACCTCCTTTGCCTCGTCTCTCCGTTCCTCACGACGTCGTTTTCTCTCCACGGACACGACCGGCTCGGCTTTCCCGGCTTCGAGCGGGAAGTTGAGGATCGCTTTGGCGCCGCGGAGCTTGAACGCTGCTCGATCGTAAGCCCTGGCTGCTTCAATCGCCGTGTCGAAGGTCCCCAGCCAGACCCGGGAGCCTCTGCGGTTCGGATCCCGTATCTCCGCCGCGTACTTACCCCACGGTCTTTGTCGGACCCCTCGGTAGTGCTTCTTCTTCTCTTCGTTCGAACTCACTTTCTGAACCGCCGCCGGCTTTGCGGCTGCCTGGTCCGAGCTCGCAAACTGGATCCACTCGGTTTTGTTGGGAAGCGAGATTGTGAGTGCAGGCTTTCGGGTCGGGTTCGCGGGTTTAGGAGCCGTTTGGTTCAGAATTTGAGGCTTTTGTTCGAATCCAAAGAAATCGTCGCTAACTTGAGGCTTCGAATCGAACTCGAACGAACTTTGAGATCTCAAACTTGTGGATTTTGGAGTTGTGAGGTCGATTACTTGGGTTTTGGGTTCGAAGTCGAAGAAATCAGCGGAGTTAAAGTCGAAGATGTCAGTTGAATCCAAGTAATCGGATATTTCAATAGAGGATTCAAAAGTGGAAGACGATTTGGAGCAAAACGAATCCGATTGGGATCTGGAGAGGTCGGAATTGACCTCGGGACTCCATTGGTTTTGGGGGAAGCTGGAAGCGGAGTCGCTGAGCTCGATGGCTAAGCTCTTCACCGGCGATGACTCGCCGAGAAGATGGTGCTTGATGAGCTGGAGCGCCGAGACTTGATCTAAAGCCATTGATAACAATTTTTTTGTATACAATCTCTGAGAAATTTTAGAGAGAGAGAGAGAGAGAGAGGGTTTGAAAATCTTGTAGAGAGTGGAAATTTGGGAGTGAAATGGAAGAGGGGGAGGGGGAGGGGATATATATACAAGGGAGGACGATGGGGAAGACTTCCAGGCTGAGGTTCGACGAAGCATCCTTTGACTTTTCTTCTGTGGGGCCCATTTAGTCCTATCCATGGAGCTTCTACGTGATGTTACGTAATAATTTTCCTTCCAATCTCCACCGTTGAATGCTTGATATCACTTTCATTCTTTCATTTAAAGTAATTGATGTCGTATGGCCTACTACTGCTAGGGTTTGTCCGCTCTAGAAGTCTGAACCGATTGTCCTTTACTTGTGCGTTTTACAAGCAAGAATAATTTTCGTTAATCACTGCATGTCGATGTGTTTAATGTTTAAAATCTTATTTTTTATATATTTCAATTATTTTAATACTGAATACTCTTATATGATAGGAACAATCTATCATATGCTAGGTACGTAGTAAGAAGAAACCCGCACCAGTTCTCCTGTATATTGCTGTATCTTTTGATCTTTTTGTCGTCTTATGCTCAATGGGAGCTAATTTTAAGTATTTGAATGTAGTGCTTAATTTCGTGGATGCTTCCAAAAAGTGCATCTTTTGAGTATAATATAATCATTATCATTAGTTTAATCGCTTAGTGGAATAACTAGGTCATGCAGATTAATGGCAAAAGTTAATCAACATTAGATATGGTCAACTCAGGCTTAATCTTGGATTAATTAAGCTTTGAATTTTAATTGGAGGTCTTTAAAATTGGTTTTAGATTGAGAGAAAACTTTGACATTTACATGCAAGCAAGTAAAAGCCAACCCGATGGAATTGCTTTCACTCGTTGAATATATATATATATATTTTTTTTTTTTGTTGTTCCAGAAACAAATTTTCAACTCAATTTTTTCTTATTTTATTCATGGCTTGAATTATAATTCATCGGCTTTTGTAAAGTTACCGACTTTATTTGCCGACTTAATCATTTATGCCGATAGATGTGTGAACTAAATGACATTTCTCATTACACTCTTTGATTTTTTGCAATGTTTGGTCTGAGTAATCTAATTTCATTCTTCATGTACCCAATTCTCTACGTTCTTTAAAAAAGTACAAATTAAAAAAATGTATTATTGACCAAAACAATGATATCATATCATAAACATATATATTGGCGAGGTGAAAATTAATATACAACGGTCCTCAGTTGTTTTTGTTTTCTCTTTTCAGATAAGGGAAACCACATGGAATAACTAAAATGAAGAATTGTTTGAATTTTTTTTTTATTTTATTTCATACGGCCCCCATTGTATGGTACATATTGTCACATCCCGGCCAGGGCGGATCACTTCCAGGGCCCGTTCCACCACCGTAGCACGATATTGTCCGTTTTGGGCTTACCATTCTCTCACGGTTTTGTTTTTGAGAACTCACGAGCAACTTCCCAGTGGGTCACCCATCTTGGGAGTGACCTGGCCTCATTCTTGCTTAACTTAGGAGTTCCTACGAAACCCGAAGCCAGTGAGCTCCCAAAAAGCCTCGTGCTATGTAGGGATGAAAATATATATTTAAGAATCACTTCTCTGGACGATGTGGGATTTTACACATATTGTTGTGCCATGAGCTTCATAAGCGTCCACCGCTAAGTTTAATTATAGACTAGCATCGTTTCCAACTTAATTAACCATCTAAACTCAATATCATGGGTGGTCTCAAATTCAGTTAATGAACTTCAACGTCTGATTTTATCACAAAAAGTCTCGTTGCAATTAGAACTTAACCTTCTATATTTGAATCTCATATTGTTGTTATACTTTTTCAATGTGGAATTTCTGCATGTAGCTTCTTGACTTGTATAGAGCCAACTTACCGACATGTATAATCTTTAATGGTAAAACTGCAAAATACAAGATAAATATTTACTATTTCTTACTGTGGTGATGTATCAAACATTCTTTCTGTCTTTTAACTAAAAAGAAATATTTGAATATCCAAATTAGACCCAATGCTATTGGTAACAATCAAAATCCCATTTCCTTTGAGTTGAGTTAATTTTTAAGGGTGCTGAGTCTCCTCGACGACTCTAATTGATAAAGTCTAATAGGGATAGGATGGTGCCCTTTAATATATTTCTTTGTCTGAATTAATGGACAATTGGAAAAAAAAATGATAAGAAAAGTTCTGAAATTCAGTGTTTAGATCTACATTTTCAGGCAAGCAGACACTTTCACGTAGTGTATAGAGGATCTGGATCCTCTCCTGAGCTAATGGAGAGGATCCTCCTGACCAGTTATCATGGGCCGTTGGATTTTTATCCAACGGCTACAAACAGGAGGGTCCCTTTAAAGTTATAATAATTATAGCCGTTAGATAAAAATCCAACGGCCCATGATAACTAGTCAGGAGGATCCACTTCATTAGCTCAGGAGAGGATCCAAATCCGTGTATAGACGAAGGGCTTACATTTTAAATGTCTTGCGGAGACATCAGTTTGCTCAACCCAAATATCTTTATTTATTTTTTACTATTTTTGCCAACCGATATAGCTTTTGGTTAGGTCTTATAAAATGTTTACATCTTCTGCAAGAAGTCAATGCATGCACCGCTCCATTACAATACCGAGGAGCATACGAAACTCAACTGACTCCAATTGTAAAGCTAATTGCAAAATATCAAAAATGATACTCTCAAAGACCACATCAGTCTTTCTCCTGCCCTCGCAACATACAAATCAATGTTGATGAGTCAGACTCCATGATTAGCTTCTTGAATCCCAAAGAATTAACATGTTAATATTGGAACATTGTTGTCTTCTTATGGCTAAAGAAAATATATTTATAAAAAAAATTAAAAAAAATCGTCGACTGTAAGTTGTCTGTAAAAAGAAATATCTTTACCTATCGAAATACCCTTTACTTGCAAGAACTCAAATATTATCCACAACATTGTAAGGTGAATAGTGTCTTCAGGTGGAAATAAAAGGCCAAACATAAATTAATATTGGTTTGACCCAACCCAATCTAACTTAACCCCTAATTAAGTTTGCCTTAATTAAATAATGAGGTATAGGGTCATTTGGTTCAATGGATGGAGCTGAAAGAAAAATAGGAAGGAGTCAAGCATTGCAGTTTGAGCTAAATTCCGGGTCCTCAAAGACCGCAAACAGCTCAACAACTCTTATTATTTAATATTTTAAGAGTATATTTAGAGACAAATTAAAGACTTAGCAACTGAAGTGGGAGCTCTTACTAAGTCCATGAATTTGCCAATCTCATTCTCATTTTAAACAAAAGGATAGGAGAATCAAACAAGAACATAATTATAAAGAAGTTAATTTGCTAAACATATATATATATATATATATATATGTGTGTGTGTGTGTGTGTGTCTGTGTGTGAAACATATCTAATAAAATAGGAATTCCGCTCAAGTGATTAAGAATTCATGACTACATACTTTGAATTTGATACGAAAAATTGAGATTAAAATGTTAAAAATACATTCATGTTATTTTTCACTTGTAATACCAAATTCAAACATCTAATACATATTAACAGTTGAATATCAGAGTGCGCAACGAACAAAATTACAAAATAATAAGAACATCATTAAACAAACTGAATGCCGAAACGGCTACATAATCCCAAGAGACTACATCGTGACTGAGTTGTTAAAACTAACTAATACAAGCACTATTATATATAGTGAAAACTAAAGCAAACCCTAATCCTTAAAGGATATAGAAAACTAAAGCACAATCCTAATCCTTAAAGGATATAGAAAACTAAAGCACAATCCTAATCCTTAAAGGATATAGAAAACTCTAATAAACCTTAAATCCTAACCCTTAAAGGATATAGAAAATTCTAACATCCTTGTCCCACAAAAAAACCATAAACAAAAATAAACTAATAACTAATTTTCCAACATTAACAAACCCAAGTCATAATGGGGGTCACCAAACATATCTAATAGGTTAAAGATTGCTAGTGTTTTTGTCTGTTTGCTAAATAAATTCATATTGTTCCTGTTGCTGATTTGTCCGTGTTAACCACCCTGACCTTCACTGCATGAAATCATGCATGCTTTTTGCCGGATACAGTTAAATTATAGAACCAACAGATCCTGTGTGGTCCGTGGACCAAGTTTTAAGGCCGCGTTTCGAATTAAATAAAAACAGTTAAACAAGTTTTGAATGCTTCATCAATTGAAAGAGTCGTCACAGTATGTTGTATATTTTGTATCTGCAGGCGTGGTAATTAAGACGATAATTAGTCTGAACGGGAGGATCAAATTACTTAATTAACTTGCCTTGTGCAGTTGTGCTTAAATGAAACTAGGAAGAGGTCTTTAGTGATATTTCACTGTCGCTTTTATCGCAGCGATAGAATTCAGATATTTCTAAAGCAACAGTTAATATTAGCACCAAACACAGATGATATCATTTCACTTCGTCAAATGAGTTGTTTTAGCACTAGTAGAAAAAAACAGCTTGCGCGACGAAAACGTCAAATGAGTTGTTTTAGCACTAGTAGAAAAAAACAGCTTGCGCGACGAAACATTTTTCGTCGCGCAAGAAAACGCGGGAAGTTTTTTTATGCCAACAAATGTTTGCGCAACGAAAATTTCCACATATTTATCGCGCAAAGTTTCACTGAAATGGTCAGATGCCTTCAACCGCTCCCATTTAGTGCGCATTTATGACACTTTTTGTGCAACGAAGTGTTTCATCGCGCAAAGTATTTTGAGTGCTATATAAACACAATTTTAGAACCCTAATTTTCAAAGATTTTGTTTCAAAGGTAATGGCCGATTCAGGAGAAGGCTCTCGCGAAAGGAAAGTTGTATTGCGAGTAAAGAGGTACCGACGTAAGCAAGTGCCTTACTTTGAAGACAAAAGTAGAACTGATGCTTATGCCGAACTTAGGTTTGATATTATGGGTTTGGTGTAGAAGGAATGTTCTGCCGAGTTTGAGTCTTGGAAAAAGGTGCCTGAGGAGTTCAAGAAGTTCATGCTAGGGGAGTTATCGGTAAGTTTGTATTAAATAATGTATAATTATTTTTGTTAAAAAGTAGTATTTTTTAAATTACTAATTTTTCGTTATTGGCATTAATGTAGGTTCATTGGGATGTTAATGAAACCGATGAGAAGTAGCGGAAGTATCTGGATGACCTTTTCAAGAAGCATTTCTGGCAGTGGAAGTTAAATGTGTTGCAGGATGCGGAGCAAGGTGTTGCTGCCCCAGTGGAGGAGGATTGAAGTTGAATTGTATTTTTTAATTTTTTTTATGAAATAAGATTTTTAGGACATCATATTTGATTTTAATTAATAAATTTATGTTATATGGATGATTAATATTTACATTAATTATAATATGTATTTGGGATAATTTGTTAATTAATTTGGTAATGTTTAATTAGGTTTGAGTATTTTATTTAGATGAAATAAAAATTTACATTAGATAAAAAGAAAACGGAAAAAAATAAAAAATAAAAAAAATATGCATTTTGCGTGACCAAAATAGTATTCGTTGTGCAACTTGTTTACATTAATAAATTATAAAGTAAACGAAAAAAAAATGTAGACTTGCGCGACCAATTATATATTAACCGCGCAAAGTGTATTTGCGCGATGAACATAGTATTCATCGTGAAAAATCAATCGTCCAAAAGTTAACTTTATAATCTGGATTCAACTGCAGAAGTAGAACTGCAGTAAAACTACAGATTCAGCCTCTGCATTCCTCCCCTTCGTTTTTCTTCAATCCAGCATCCATCACTTCCATTTTCTCTCAATTTCATCATCTAATACTTCCTCCATCTTCTTCACTAGGTTGATCGAGCTATCTCGGTGTGTCTAGCAAGAGTTTTTTTTTTTTTTTTGTTAGGGTAAAAGTATTAACGTAAATTCATACTAACGCCATGAAATTCGTTGTCTATAGGGATATTGTGTGTGATTAGTGATTGATGGAGAACGATTTAGAAGGTATTTTCTTCGTTTTAATTTTAAAAAATATAAAATTAGTTAAATTATGTTGAAATTATTTTGTTATGCTTATATTGTCTTGTGAAATTATATGAATTTTATGTTGTTAAATTTGTACGTGACGTAAAAATATGTGTGTGATGTACGGAGTTAATTGTAATTAACTTCATTCTTTGTTTATTTTTTTTAGTAAAACTTAGTTTCTCGTTCAAGGATTAGTTTCTCGTTCAAGGATTAGTTGGATTTGGACAGTTTAGGAATGCACAGTTATGGTGCATAGTTTATGGTTGAAGGATAAGGTTTCAGTTGTAGGGATTTCGTTGTCATCTCTGTACATTCTTTGGGTGGCACATAGGTATTTCATATCTACGTTGTCCATCTGAACGAGTATATGCACTGTTTGAAGTTATATATAACATATAATAGTTTGCATTTGTGGCAACACTAAGACACTGAGTGCACTTATATTGCAGCGGAGAGTTTTTCCTTCAAGCTAATCGACTTAATATATTTGAAAGAAAAAAACCTTTTGTGCATTAGTATTTTGAGCATCCCCGAAACCATATCATTTGTGAATTGGATTGAATTTCTGAAGGCTGCTGCTACCATATCACAACATATATATGCATTGAATTTTTTTTTTCTAATTGTGTAGATGTCACAGCTTATTAGAAGTCGTAAGGCGGTCATAACTACACTTCGTTTGATTCCCCCACGTCCTACTTCAGCCACCACTACTTCAGCCACCACGTCATTAGCCTCTTCAGCGGCGCTACCTATTAGCGCCAAGTATGGTCACCGCCGCCCCTGCACACCCAACACGACATCGGCATCCACTACTGATGCCTCAGGGTCACAACAAGGTAAAGTTAAATAACTCCCTTTATTGCCATGTGAATTTAGTTATTCATATATTTAGTGCAATCAAAATTTTTACATATTGCAACTGTGCATTAGGCCCAAATTTGGCTTATTCAAATGTTATGATTGTTATTATATATCATATATTATTCATTACAATGTCCAGGGTTTGGGAATTGTTATAACTTTAGGGGAGATTCTTCTGAAATTTCGGTATAATTTGTAGTGTTTGTTTGACCGTTTTTTATTTTTTTCAGCAAAGAAAAATACCTGAGAACCTTGTCGTTAGTTGAAGACAACGAAGGTCACCTGGGTGACCAACGGACGTACCACAATTGGATACGATGACCAGCATTGGGCTGCACCAACGCCAGAGCAGCATAGCGCATTGGCCCACGACATTGATCACGTCGTTCAAACCTATTGCCCTAAGTAATGGAAGTCTTGGAAGGCAATGCCAAACAAGGTGAGGACGAAGGTGCGTGCTTATTTGTTTGTAAGTGTCCTGCCTTTTATTTGGTTTTCCTTTAAATTTTCCATATTTATATTACTTAATGTATTTAATTAATTTGTTACATTGCAGACGAACTACAATTTCGACGACATCAACGACAATATGTTGGTGTACGTCAACAGGCTCTTCGCTGAACGATACAAGTTGTGAAAGAGCGACTTGCACCAATATTTTTAGACATTTGATGATCTGTAAGTTGCTCTTGATGAGGGTTTCCTGAAGGAGTTTGAGGACCGGGAAGAAAATTGGGTATGGCTCTGCATTCATTGTCAGGAGCCGGCTATGTGGTATGTTTTTTATATTAAGTCTAAAAGTATTATTGTTTCTTACTAATGTTTGTTGATTTTTTTTTATTTTTCATTTAAATTAGAAGTAATACGTTTATTTTTTGAATAACAGAAGAAGGCGAAAGCCAACAAGATAAATCAGGAGAAAAAGACTCTTTTTCACCATTTGGGTTCGAGGCCCTTCTCATATAAGATGGAGGCGCGGAGGTAGGTACTATTAATTTTTCAATATGTCAGTAATATTAATTTTTTTTTCATACTAACATTTTTCTTATCTTGTTATATTCAAGGGGTTCAATATTCCCAGAGATTAATGTCCTTGCAGACATTTATGTTCGACTCGAGATGAGTTGGCCAAGTCCCTTCATATAAGTATTCTTCAATTGTATATACTATCCTACGCATTCAAGTATCATGGTTATTATTTGAATGTTATTATTAATATTTCATGTTATATTACACAGGCGACAATGATGGAGAAGTGGCAGTTGGTTCTTTAGGAGTCTGCCTCTCAGCTTCCTCCTGAGACTTCGCTCAAGTCTGTGGATCCCCCCAAGGATGCGGGGTTTCAGATCCTTACAGACACCTTGGATCAAACTCTCGGGCGGAGGCTAGGGACATATTGTAAGGGGATGGGGAATGCCTAGCGGCAAGCAATGTCTAAAATATCGATGATATCAGAAATATCGGTAGTCCAAAAACACGAAAATTTCGATGGAAATATCGGGATATTATCGATATCGATAAAAATTGAATAAAAACCACGGAAATTGCAAGAAAAACTTTGAAACTTTTATTGAAACTTTGCAGGATGTTTATTTAGTCAATTATCTATTAGTTTATCACAAAAAATTGGAAGCAAATGCATTGCATGATAGATTTAACTGATTTAAGTTGATTATATAGCGAGCTGGCAAACACTGTGAGTGTAGAAAATATGTAGTAATTAATGAAAGAAGTTTAAACATACCATAATCATTTATATATAATGAATTAGTACAATATTTTGCACTCATTTAAGCAAGGGATTAAGCAATGTGAGTTGTTGCGCCGAACCAATAACAATTGGCCAGCCTGTTTCTAACGGGCAGCTGCCCGACCTGCCCGCCACTCCCCACAAAAAACCCCAGCTATAAATACCAAGGCTCTAAAAAACGCTAGGCGCTAGTTGGGCGATAGGCTAGCGCCTAGTGCTTAGGCGGATTTAGGTAAATTTCTTATATATTATATGAATTAATTAAATTTACTATATCAGATGTAAATAATTATTGAATAATATGTTACTTCTTATAAAAGAACATACATTTATATACATATCTAATATGCTTGCCTAGGAAAAAAAAAATCTAATAATTTATAATTTATATAACATTTATATACATATAATAATATAATATACCTCCCAAACTTTTAAAATATAAAAAGCACACACCCATGCAAGTGGGCGGGTTTCATAATAAACCATCTGATGAAAGTAGATGTCCACCTTACCTCTTTCACATCACCACCCATCACCAGCTTTTGACCTTTCAGAAACCTAAGAAGAAAATTTCGTTTCTTCTTCTTTCCTTGCCCTTTTAGAAACTCAAAATTGATCTTTTAGTCTCTCTCTCTCTCTCTTTCTCGGCACTCTCTCTTCCCTTATCTTCGTTCTTCTTTGCCTTTTCATTTTCAGAACCTCAAAATTGGATCTTAAATCCAACTTGCGCCACTTTGTGCTTTCAGTCTCTCTGAGTCTTCAAAAACCCTAGATTCCCGAACGAACAAAGAGGTCCAAGCCCTATCAACAATGGCAGTTTCAAAGGCATCATCCGTCGTCGCTCTCATGGCAATCATCTTTGCTGTCCTCTCTGCCATATGCGCCTCCTAGAAGTCTCCGGCTCCCAGCCCAACCTCCCCCGCCGCATCCATCACCCCCTCGTTCGTATCCACCCTCGTCGTCGCCGTTGCTGCTCTGGCCTTCGAATTTGGGCTCAAGGTTTGAGGTCGCGGTTGCTGCTTGTCTGGATGTGGCTGTGTAGAGCGGTTTGGGATTCATCTCGCGATATTATCGATAATATTGCGATATATTTCCCAACTAATGCATTAAAATGCTGAAAATATCGTCTATGATATTATCACGATAATATCGACAAAAATATCGATATATTGACGATAATTAAATGGATAAGTGTGAAAATATCGTTCTTAAAAAAAAAAACGATATTATCGACGAAATATCATCGATAATATCGATATTTTAAACCTTGGCGGCAGGAACCTAGAGCCTTTTCATCCTCGCAGGCGAAGGGCGAGGCGACAACTTTTCCAGCAGAGGTGGCTGACCTTTGGACTGAGATCGTTTCGTATAAGAGCTAGATGTTACTGATTGCACATGCCCTCAGTTAGTCCAGCATTCATCACCCGAATATTCGTCCCACGTCAACGTCCGAGCCCCTCTAACCCAAGCATGCCCAGAACTCCGCCTCTTCGACCTCTGAGCCTGTCCTCAACCCCAAACCCTTCTTGCCCTAATCTTTCTAGCCGCGTGTGAACGACGACCCCGTAGATTATTCCACCTTTTTTTCTTAGCTGTTTAGGCCCTTACTTTTAAAACTTTTTCCTTGTACATACATTTTATTTTTATTTTAAATAAATTATTTTTCTCTTCATTAAATTTTTTTATTTTTTTATTTTATTATTTATTACAAAATTAAACCCAAAACAAAAAACATAATTTT